TTTCGAGCTGTAGCAGCACAGCCTCTCTCAGGCTCAATTTCAGCAGCCTTTAAGCCATTCCCAAGACACACACATGCACTTCTAATGAACTGTACACTTACTTTACATGATTGCTGCTGGGGTGGCACAAAGTACAGCCCACCCTCGCTGTGCCTGTTGTTACACATCAGGCCCTCAGCATGCTGAGTGCAGTTATTTCTCGGTATTACCTGGAGGTAGAGAAGCTTAACCAGCAACATCCTTTGCCTCTGTAATTTATATCCTTAGACAATTCTACCTCAAAAATATAGAGGCTGTGACTCCACATCCAAATCTTCAGGTGTGTTTTGAAACGTGCTATGCCCTGTGATGCAGCAATGACAGTTCATATACTATCCACTTCTTCTGAAGCAAAGCTGGGGTGTAGTCTTACAGGACTCATGCTGCCCTCTTAAATTGAGCTGGGGTGTTTCAGAAGCATTTCACATGGGTCCTTTTGCCCAGTTTTCTCGCTTCAGAAACTGTTTTTGCAGACTTGCCTCTTCAAAGGTACCAACTCCTTTGACTTACAGACTGTTCACATAAAACAAGCTGAAGGGTCTCTGTGGCGTGTTATCTCTGTCAGTTTTTCTCAGACATCTTTTTTAAGTATGTTTTACATGGTTCCTATCACAAAGGATAGCAGACTATGGTTCCTACCTTTGAGGATAGAAGCCAAAATCTACTGTCAAAACATTTACTTGCCCAGGTACCCAAGCATATTCCATGCCCTACTACCATGTTCAATTCTTGGTGGTTTATCTACCCACAGCGCAGGCTGGCCTCCCCCTCCCCAGCTGCCCCAGCAGTTTCACACTGTTACAGTGCTCCATTCCTCATAGCGGGTGACATAAAATTTCTTCCCGGCTTGTCTGGGAAGAAAACACAAAACGTGTAGATTTTTTCCCTACTACACTGGGGTTTACCAGAGCACTCTTCTAGCAAGTAAAAATTTCCCCAGACAACCCAGGCAGCACAGGATGCTATTCTCCCTAGTCCTGAAAGTGCCCAGGGCATTCATTCATACAAAGCTGCCCAAAGATAAAATAGGGTCGGTGTCACAAAGAAACCTGTCAGTTCCTCAGCATGTGGACTTCACTGTCATCAAAAATCCGCGCTGCACTAAGGAAACAACACTATTTATTGATATGTCACATCCAGGTATATTACATAGTTAAACATTTTAAATAGCATTGCAAAGAGTTCCTGCCAGAGCATATTCCTGTCTCTCACAGGTGCATTGGGATCCTGGGCAGTCTGATCCCATTCCCAGGGAAGCATTACTGGGAGGTGGAAGCTGAGGAAGATACAGAGTACAGAATTGGTGTGGCTTTTGAAAACACTCCGAGGCATGGTTATCTGGGGGCAAACAACTCATCCTGGTGCATGAGGCACATCATCACACCATCAAGGTAAGAGCTGTTGGAGGCTACAGGTCTCCTACACAACACCTCCTGCATGTACACCTGCAGACAGAGCAGCAGAGAGCTCAGGCCTGTAGGGGTGGCTGGAGATCTTACATCAAAGCCCCAGCCAAACACTTAACCAGGGGCCTGTGATTATTCCACCATAGGCACTGTAATGCGGTGTTGGATGGATACTGGAACCTTTAAGCACATCCTACTGCTTTATGACATTCTCACATTGAAAGAGGCAGTCCCACGAACAAAAATTTGAACAGAATCTGCATTACAGAAGTTAGCTATAGGTTACTGAAACCCCAGTGGGAAGACAGCCAGTAACAGATCCATGCCACTTAGGAAGTACAAACCTAGCTAAACCCCGCTGTATGCACCGTGTTTTGACCTCTGTCCTCATGGAGGTACCAGACAGCCACACCTGCACGCAGAAATGCCAGCTGCCCCTTATGCCTCAGCTGGGACTGCTGGCTCTCCCCTGGACAATGACAACTGAATTAACATCATCACCTTAGAATCTCACGGGAGATTCAGGCACCCTGTGAAGGACCCAGGAGCAAGCCTCAGGCATCCCTGAGTAACTCCCATCGCCTGTCTGAACGCCACTCAGCCTGCATGAATTGCCAGTGTGGTGCTGGGACCCCTGAACAGGACACTTGGATGCCACCTGAGAGCCCCGCCATGCACACTGTCAGCAGATGGTAACGATGGCACAGCGTGCTTCCAAAGCTTCCTGTCCTTGCCAGCTGGTACACAGAGAGGTTTTAGATGCAGCTGAGCTGGCGGGAGCACACACTCCCAGGTGCTTGCTGCTCACAACTCCCCAGCCATCGGCCTGCTGCACAACCAAAGTCCTTGGCAGTGCTGCCATTTGCCTCCCACACAGCGAGAAGTGCTGCTTAATGAGAGGGACTAAACCCACTGAGGTTAATGACTCTTCCATACACTGCAGGAAGGCTAATTTGATTTGCTTGCTACATTGAGCTAAGAGGTACATTGAGGTTTGCTCTTATTCTTCTGAAGCAATGAGCATGGACTTCAGGGAAGAGAATGCGGAGCCAGGCCATTGCTCAGTTTGAGTCACTGTCATACCCAGCTCTACAGGGAAATTTTCTCAGGTTTGAGCAGTGTGGGTGGAGGAGGTGGTTAGTGAAGAAGCTGGCCCTTGTGAAATACCAGATAACTCACTTTAGCTGAATAAATCTTCTCACTTCAGCTCAGAAAGGCACACGTTCCCATAGAAGTCTCATATTTTTGGTTGCAGCGTGCCACACTAGGGAGAGCAGGTTGAGTAACTGCTACAGGACCTTAGCATTACTCAAATGGTGATTGCATACAGAAGAAGAGGGCTACCCTCACGACAAAGCAGCTATGTACAAGTGCACCTTCATGGCCTCCATTAATCCACAGCTCAGGAATCATGATTAAAAGAAGTCACCCTCTAGTAAATGAGGGCTGGAAATTCCCCATCTACACCCCCCTGGCTGAGGAGGGAGCTGTCTTGTAGGAAGAGCAGCCAGAAACGTTAATTTAGAGAATGGGGTTTGAAAAATGAAATCAAATAGTCTGGAGGATGCCGAGCCACACTCTGAGTCAGACTCTGCCCGAGGGATTACACTCCCTCATTGCTGCTGCAGACGTGGGTGTGAGCAGTTCCCAGTTCCTGTGCCTTTGGCAGGAAAGGGGGCTCGGTACCACAGGCCCCAGGGAGCAAGTGGGCAGCACTGCAGGGCCTGGCTGAGTCACCTCATCAACTCTCCTTGGCTGGGCCTACAGCTGTGGAGCTGCAAGGCTGAGGAGCCAACAAGTGGTGCTCTGGGGCAAGCCTAACTGGCCTGAAAGAGCACAGCTCCTTCAGACAGTAAGGGATGACTTCAGATAAAACCTAATAGAAGAGAAAAATTAACATGCTCTGACCTCATCCTTTCCCAAGTGTCTCCACCCAGCCATTTGCAGCCAGCTGGGAACATGAAGTAAAGGCCTGTTACATGGGTCAGGCAGATCTGAGCACTGAGGGATAAGGTTGTGTAGAAAAGCAGCACTCACCTGCAGGTAAACAGCCATTGCTCAGCGCAGGGGCAGGGGCAGTAAACATGGGGCAGGGGCACACAGGAGGGATGGGACTGTCCATAGCACACATGTGAAGTGGAACACCCTGCCACATACCTGCGTGCACAAAGTGCTTCTCTTTGAGAGAAGCAGGGCACCCTTCGGTATTTGACTGTGCTTCTTGCCTACAGGCACAAATATGAATTCCTGCACAGCGGGATGACACCAGACATCAGAATTACCATTCCCCCCACAAGGATTGGCGTCCTGCTGGACTATGAGAACTACAGACTGTCATTTTTCAATGCTGATATTGCCCAGCACCTTTACACGTTCAATTCACACTTCCAGCATTACGTCCACCCCTGCTTTGCTTTGGAAACACCTGGTATCCTACAGATACGTACTGGCATTGCAGCACCCCCATGGACAGCCCTCCCATAAACTGTGTTCCTCTGCTGCCAAACCTACATATAGCATTGCGAAATGCCCTTTTTCAGCATTAACTGCTCAAGCACACTCCCTATAAACCAGCTCTCTCCTAAGAAGGATGGCAAAATATCCCTGACCCAAACAAGCTCCCAGGCCTAACCCTTAGACAATTCCTCTCATCTTAGGCAGGATCTCAGTAGAAAAACATTAGTCAGAAGATCCATCAGCATCCTGGAGCTGTTCTCCAAATCACTGAGGGCTGAAACGACTCCCATCCTTCCCACAAGTGACACTGTTACCAAGCAGCACTGGCAACTGGATTACTGTTTCCCCCAGTACCCATTTATGCTTGGGGAACTCCCTTATTCCACAGCAATGGTAAACTCCACTCCTGTGTCTGCTGAAGAGCTAAAAATTAAACGAAAAACAAAAATAGCAAAATGCATAATCACTGTACAGCTGCTAGACAGAGCTGAAAACACTCCAAGCATGAAGCTGATCTCACAATCAAGTATTCTCGCCACTACACAGTCTGTGACACGAGATAATCAAAAACGCCTCCCTTGTGTGTGAACTGTTAGTGCATACCATACGCAGTAAGTGGATTGAAACTGTGAAGCTTATTGAAATACTCAACCATGCCCTAGTCTCAAATACTTTAAATAAATGAGAAGCATTCTGTAAGAATGCTTTTTATCAGGGAAAAAGCAAAACCAAAACCAGATGGAGGTGTTTTGCAGTGACTGGTTGCCAGTCTAAAGCACCTTTTTTTTTTTTTTAGCTTTTTGTTTGTTTGTTTGATGGCCATGCTCATCCCTGCCTTGGTATATCCTGCATACTCATAAATTTTCCACCCCCTCAGCACTGAGAACTTTTGACCTTTGATGCCATGTCCCAGAAGCCTAGGGGCTCCAGTGTAGGCTGGAAGTAGCAGTCCAGTACTCAACTGAAATGTCCTTGTTCAGACTTCATTTCCAGACACGAGACAGGCACTGCCCCTAAAGCAGGCTGTCCTGCTCCAAACAGCCTCACTTGTGGATGTCAAAACTACCTGAGTTCAATCAAGACTCACTAACACAGAAAGAAGCTTTTCCATAAATTTATTGTACGTTCATTACAAAAACCATTGGTTCGAAATTTCCATTCTAGGGGTTAGTCAGGAACAGGTAGTCCCTACAACACACAGGGTCCACATGAATAAACAGAGCCTGGCAAAACTTAAGAGACTTGGTGTAAACTGTGTGCCAAATGCTTGTCTGTTCTTTCCTATTTGGCTGAGAGAAAGAAGAAATGTGTCTCTCCAAAACAGGCTTTGCAGAAAAACATGTGAACAGGAGCTGAATACGCTGCTACGGCAGGATTAGTCTCTTGAGTATCGATTTGTTTTGCAAGCCACAAAAGAAGGTGGGTTTAGCAACACTGAACTATGCAAGTATAGCTTCATAGCCTACCAGGAAGTCACAGATTTCCAAGGCAGAAAGGGTCGTTATGATTACCTTGTCACACCTCCTGTGAGGCAGTCCAGAGAAATTTCAGTTGCTGTTTCTTGCAGTGAGCACAACGCGTGTCTGCTAGAGACAGGAGACTCAGCCAGCAACCACCACCAAGGCCCAGGGCAGAAGGTGGCCAGGTGAGCCTGCTGATGTTGTAAGGCTGTACCACAGAACAGCAGCTACAGTGTACATCTGACAGTGCTGAGATAGCACCACACCCTAAGTTGTTTTAACACTATTTTTTTCCCTTTGGATAAAAACATATACCTTGATTCTGGGTCCAACTTCCCCCCGCTGGAGCATGTTTTACTTTTACCTGCCAAAATCGAGCGCCACCATCTTCTTTACAATTACAGAGAGATCTGGAAGTAAAACACACAAGTATCAGAGCAGGGGTATTAGGATGTCCGACCCCCCCCACCCACCAAGAACACCTTTCCTGCAGACAGACTGCCCGGTGAACCAAAGGGTTCTGCTGGAAGCACTAAGTCGTGGTGTGATCAGCCCCACCACACCACTCCTCACCAACAGCTTCTGTCCCAGCTGCTCAAACCACTCCGTGTTCTGGCACCAGGATTAGCTGTCCACCTCAGGTGGTAAAAGAGCCCCGTAACTTGGGTCCTAGGGGCTTCACAACCACCTCACAGGCGTGCTGCAAGGCCAGATTCGATGAGTCAAACATGAAGTACTTGGACACCGCGCAAGTGGGACTCTACAGGTACCAAACAGCTCTGTCATCATGTTGCCAGCTCGATGAATCTGCCGGAGATCGCAGGAGCAGCCTGCTTAGCAGAGTGTGACTCAGTGGGCATCACCAGGGATGGTACAGGACTGGTAAGGCAGCAACAGAAATACCTGAAAAAAAGAATAAATAACCAATAATCAGCTGCCAGGCTGAAAACAGGATAGGAAATGAGTTTGCATGTTTCTGTTTAATAAAAAATTCACCTGCCAGCTGTAACCCAAGCATCTCCTCTCTTAGGAATCCTAACCTTGTCACTTAAATATTTATTCAGCGAAGCAAAAGGCATGAACAGTTTCAATTTTTTAAAACTGTCACTGTGAATCATCATTGTATGTGTCCTTTACAAGGAAGCCACCATTTACACTGCACGGACTATTGATGTGACCAGTAAGGCACCCAAGCTGGAAACATGGAATATCCCGAATGGGAAGGGACCCACAAGGATCATCGAGTCCAATTCCTGGCTCCACACAGGCACCCCAAAAAATCAGACTGAACGTCTGAGGGAGTTGTCCAAATGCTTCTTGAACTCTGGCAGGCTGGGTGCTGTTACCCGTTCCCTGTGGAGCCTGCCCCAGGGCCCAAACACCCCCTCAGTAAAGAACCTTTCCCAAACACCCAGCCTGAACCTCCCCTGATGCAGCTTCAGGCCATTCCCTCAGCATGTTCACATCAACCTCGTGTTTCTGTGTAACCCAACAGGGAGATGTGCCAAACATCTGTTAAGGGCCAAACCCTGCACAGAACTGGAAGCTGTGCTTCAGAGTAAAAGGGGAGTCCCTTCGGAAAGCCAGAAGGCACTAACTGGTCCTGCACAGCACCCCAGAGAAGACTAACACCAAACGTATTCTGTTTAGATGGAAACCTGGGTAAAGTGCTCATCTTGGAGAGCTGTGTTGAGTTGTCAACTGAAAGGGGTCTCAGATGAGGCAAAACCTCTTCTCGTCCATGGCCTATCTACTGACACTGGCTCACTGCTGAACTAGACTACATGAAAGGACAAAGGTCTGTTAAAAAACAAGTTGCCTTTGTCTTTGATGAGTTATGTGCCGCGAGACACATTCTTCCTGGTACCTGTTGGCATTTTTCTTTCTGTTCATTTCATTACATGCACTTGCTGGCACACAGAATAAGCTGTCTTCAGTGAAGGATGGGGGCTCATGCCTAAAGCTCTGGTATTGGCCACCTGATTCCCACAGGCTGGCCCCAATCTGCAGCAGTGATCTGCACAGCCCTGCAGATGCTGCAGCAGCAGGAGCTGCTCAGAGGCTCTTGGGCTTAGAACAAGTTACACCCAAACCCCTTTATGGTGGGCAGAAATACCAGAAGGCAATGCTGACCTAACCTTCGGTACCTAGTGAGAGTCATCTTATTTGGTTTGTGGTAGGCTTCTGTGCAGAACAGCAGGGAGCAAGGCAGAAAAAATATAATAAAACCACAGCTGGCTGAGGAGATTAAGAAACAGAATCTGAGACTTTGCTGCAAGCTGCCAGCATCTCTTGAAATCACCAGGCTGGTCAGAGTCATTCTCCCTCTGAGCACAGTTATTTCTGTGCTGACCAGAGGGCTAAGTCAATAGCAGGGTTCTGCCAGAGATCAAAGTGATTTTTTTTCTGGACTGTTTTTAGGCACTCCTTCCAGGGTTCTCTCGAGGCACCTTGTTCTCCCAACATCCTGTAATAATACAGAAGCAGCACAGACAAGGGAACACAGGGACTGTGGCACAACAGGGACTTGAAACCACACTCAGGAGTCTTGGCCTCATGCAGAAAACAACAGGGTTTCCTCCTCTGTGAGAAACCACATGTCCTAAGACCCAAGGTACCTTTGTATCTAAGGGTATCAAATATTTAGGATCACTTCTTCCAATTCCGTTCTGTTTCCTCTTGATTAAAAATACCAGTACACACTGTTGCCACTGGAGGGCATCGCACCAAGCCCTTTCACAAGGCTGCACGGGTTAACAGGTTTACACCAAATGAGGAGGGCTAAGCACCCATTACCACAAGCACAGTTTTCACACTGGTTACCGTAATCCTCGGCGAGTCGTGTCCTTCATCACCCAGTCCTGGAGCCACGGACAAAGGAACCCAGGGGCTGTGAGCAAGCACAGGTGAGAACATCAGAAGCGTTAAGTGCAACAACAGGCAACGCAACTGCCCTGGAACATGGTGCATTGTGTCCTGTTCAAATCAAACCCACCCAGCGTTTTCTATACAAACACTTGGCTTTTAACCTGCTCTGATTACCATGAAAAAAAAGCCTTGTAGGTAGAGGAAGTAGGTCCCGACTTTATCTCACAGGCAGGCCTTGCTCTTCCACCGTTTAATTTAGGAGGATAGTATCAGTGGAGCCAATATAACGTCACCGGCTCCACTTTCTTAGTCCTCCAGCTAAAACCTCAGCAAGAAACTCGGGGCAGCCTCAGGGCGTGCCTGATCCCTGCCGCACAGCCCGGCTCCTTCCCTGGCACCCAGCACCACAGAGGCAGCGCTCAGCCTCCCCTCAGAGCAGCCGGCCCGGAGCCGGCCCCTGGCAGCCCAAGAGGCGCCCGGGGAGCGGGGCCGAGCGGCGCCGCCATCCTCACCTGCCTCAGCGCCCGGGCTCCTCACCGGCCCCGGCACGCGGTCGGGGGCGGCACGGAAATGGCGGCCGGGTGCCGGGGCCCGTCGCAGCCCCCTCGGAGGCCGGGAGCCGAGTGAGGGGAGGTCTGGGCTCTGCCCGCCGCCGCCCGGTGCCGCCCGGTCCCCGCCGCCGCCGCCGCCGCGAGGGGTCCGGGGCCCGCCCGGCCTCGCCCCGCGGCCGGCGCCGCCGCCGCCATTTCCTGAGGGCCGGGCCCCTCCGCCGCTTCCTGGCGCGTTCCTGCCCGCCCGGAACAGAGCGGGCGCTGCCTCCGCCCCCCTCAGCTGCCTTGCCCTGCCCGGGGGAACACAGATATTTTTTTTAGGAGGGAGATGTGATTTTAATTTATTTATTTTTTAAAGAGAGTTCTTGGCCCTGGCCAAGTTCCCGATGTATTCCAGCCGTCGTGCCCACAGCTCCCACAGTCCGTGAGGACACCAACCATGCATGTAGGGTTGGGCCAATGGTGGCATCTGAGAGGCTTTGTTCGGAGGCATTTTGGAGGCATTTGGTTTTCTTTTGATCCTAAAACAAAATTCCTTGTGTTCCAGTTGCAGGCTTTGAAAACACACGGTCAGGAGGGGCCCCGGACACTTCTGCCCCTCCTGTCTCTGTTCCACGCTGACCGACAGCTGCAGTACATGTGGTTAATGTGCCAGCGCACTCAGGGTCGGATAGGCCTCACGGCTCCCCAGGTAGTAAAACATTTAATGAAGTGAACATTGAAAGCCCTCACCATTTATATTCTGAGTTATAAAGCTTTCTTGTAGCCTCCCAGGCCAGTCCCAGGCAGGAAAAAACAGCCATGGGAGAGCAAGCTGAGGGGCAAGGCGGTTGCTAAGGCTCAGCACAGGAGCAGCTGTCACGCATGAGGCCAGGCCGCTGGGCTTCATGCACGAGTTTTTATCCTTACACAAAGCAAAGAAATAGCCAGCAGTAATGAGCAGTAGCCATAAACCACTTCTGTGGTCTCCATATTCTAGGGATAACAAAGCTCTGCTTGGCATCAGCAAAAGAAAAGCAAATTGCTCATCAGGCTTCTCTTCCAAGCAAACACTGCCTACTGCCTTTCAAACGGCTTACCAAAGAGCAGTATCTAATCAAAGCCTCTTTCAAACCTGGGCTAACTACTGTTCCTGCTATTATTAACTTGAGGCAATTTGGAGGTAGGGGTCTTTGATTCCTCTGACATGAAAGGTTTAAAGAAGAGAAGGAAGTCACAGTATCGACCTGTGATGCCATGGCATACAGATAAAAGCCTAGCTGGCATTTTTGCCTGCAGAGCTTCACTATGATTTCAGGGTAGCTCGAGCCTGATTTATAAACTGCAGTTTTCCCCCTTGGGTCCCACAGAGCACAACCTTTCCGCCTCACCCACACCCCACAATGGCAGGGAGAAGGAGGTGGAAGTGTGTGGTCTATAGTAATGATTTATTAAGCCCCAAATTTCTGAGCAGGCCCAAAGAGATAACATGTATTGACATACAGGAAAGGACACTTAAGAAGCACTCTGACTTCCTCACCACCCATCAGATGTAAAATAAAGCCTTTGTTCCCAGTGCAGGACTTCACAACAACCATTTTAAACTCAGCATCACAATGGTTATAGACTGCTCTTGCTTTGCATTCCTCTGTCTACACATTAACCCTAGAGTTAATATCTGGCTATTACAAAAGTTAAATAAGCAAACATCAAAGGATAGGCAAAATAAATACATTTACATAGGTCAATTTAAATTAGACATTGATACTTTTTTATTTTGCTGCATGTGATAAAGCAACCATCAGCTTTCAGGCTGTGCTGTGCCCTCTTGGTCCCTCAGTGGCTTTCTGCACATTGCTAGTGTATCTTGGGTCAAGTCTGTCATGGTTCCAGCCTCCCCAGGGCCTCACATGATTTTAGCCCTATGAGGTGGTCCCTAGCCCCCTAAAAAGCCTTGCAGTAGTCAAGGATAGCAGTGAGCCTAGTTTTTGCCAGACCTCAGGGAGCAGCAGCTGATCAGAAGAGGTGGAATGTGTTAGAACTTTATTCAGCCACGGCACTGTGGCATTTCAGATAGACTATAATAATAGGGCTGCATTTGCAGTCTTGGGGCAGGCAATTCAGAAAGCCATAGTGATAAAAGGAAGCGGATTTATGGGTAAAAAATAGCACTTCAGAAGCAGAACGTGAACTGAACTAAGCCAATGAAAGAGAAATATGATTTCAGTGAAATCAGTACCTTAGGAAGGTTTTTTCTTGAAAGTCCTGAGGCGGGTCTGCTGCTCAGCCGGTGTTTCTGTGTGACACTAAGTGGAAAAAAAAGAAAAACCCTTTTTTCAGATCATCTTCTAGAAATGCTATTGACTCTTGTTACAACAAAAGCAGCACAAATACCACTCTGCTAATACATACTAAGCCAGACTTAAATATGTCACTGATAGTTACTTAACAAATATTATTAGGTTTGTACTCTACGGTGGTTCAAAAGAATATTTGCTTATTTAAAACCATTTATTTTAAAACAAAGCTTTTTGTTTTCTTTCTTTCTTTCTTTTTATTCCTGGCATGATGGAGTGCAGAAAACTTTTTGCTTTCTGACCTTGGCACGTCAGCAATTTGTCATAGCAGGGAATAGCATATTTGCACTGAGTCTGCCAGCATGGATTTTCAGGGGCTGGGAGAGGCTGCTCAGTTTTAGGGCTTGGTTGCATGGTGAGGAGAATTTCATTCTGTTCTGATAATGTCCTGAGAACTGTCTATTCATGCAGTTGGGTGCTTTCTCCCTCACTATGCCCCAAAACTGTCTAATGTGATGCATGCCATTCCCAGCCCAGGCTCTGGCTCTGTGTGTCAGCTGGGCACCTTGCCTGGTTCATAGCACTTACATTCACCCTATATCATTGCAGTCTTACTTACGGTAAACACTGTCTGAAATAGCTGGCACCACCCACCGCTGGGGACAGGCGCTGGGACACGGTGTGCACACAGCGGTGTCTCTGGGCTCTCCTGTGAGCCTCGCTGAAGTTCAGTGAAGGTGGTGAGGGAGGGCGGATTTCTGGCTTCTCAGGAGCTCTGATCAGTGTCTCTGTAAAGTGGCAGTGGCAAACCATTACGAAATCACCTGCTTTCTAAACTTCTCTCCTTGCTTTTTTTTTTTTGAAGATCAGCACGGTTAAGCCCAGAGCCCTCAGCAGTAGCCTGGCACCCCCCAGCTCCAGGCCAGGGTGGGTGCAGACAAAGCACTGGCTGGCCTGCAGCTTGTTTTACCCACTTGCAAGAGGGCTACTGGGGGGAGGGGGGAAGGGGGAATGTGTCTTCTTGTAAAGCATTTAGGGATCTATGAAGAAAAAAGAATTTTCTTATAAAGGAAAAATTTCATGTAAAGAAAAATATCAGTAGCAAAATAACATCTAATTTAGGCAAAAGGGGACATTTCCTGGTGGAAAAGCAATACTCTCACACATTCTGTGTTGAAAACAGTAAGGGAATTTGGTCAAACATTTAGGCTGAAGACAAAACCATGCCTCCTCCCAAGGAGCTAGGGAGCTGCAGGATCACTAGCATGACGTCGTTCTGCTTGGTTATAAAATGCGCTGCACACCCAACTTGGCACTCAGTGTTCTCAGGTTGAGCTAAGAGCTAATGTAATGAACTCTAGGGAAGGATTTACATCAAATACTACTCTGGAATATTAAAGACAGACGGGAGCAACTTCTTACTTGAATAATTGCACACTAGCTAAATTCCTCCTTTCATTTCAAAGCCAGGCAATCACCTTCCTCACTTCCCCTCTGAAACTATACATCGCTGAGCTATTCCTCAACCACAAGAAAAATCAATGTGATTAAAGGATGAAGTAACTTTTGTTAATTACCATGGACTGAACTAAGATTAGTTTTAGCTCTAGCAATGACTCTTGCCACTCGAGGGGGGGAGCAAGCAAACCAAGAAAGGCGAGATTCAAATTTCAAGTGTCCAGGGCTGCTTGCATTTGCTAACATAACCCCAGAGGCAGAGATGCTTGCAAACACTCCTGAACTTCCATTTGTACGTGGGAGAACAACACTGCACGCAGCAGCAATGAACTGCTCACAAGCTGCTTCAGTTAACTTATGCACTCTCCTGTCTGCGGGTACCAGTGTAAGGCTTTCAGCCAATACCGGGTATTTTCCCTTGAAGTTGTATCAGAAAAAATAAGACTGCATTGTGCTAACAGTTGTTGCAAGCAGCAAGTGTCCATTTGACTGGCAGGGTTTAGTCCCAGTGTTAGGGCTGTGTGTTTGAGGGAGATCCACAGCCTGTGCAAGCTGAGGGAAGTACTTCTAGCAAATGGCATCGGAAGAAAAATGGAAGACAAAGAAGCTGAGAGGGAAAAAATGGAAGATCAAAACATGAGAATCCTTTCCCTGGCCTGAGAAACACCTATGGTTACTCCATGGGCTGGGCTTGAAGGTGCAGGATCTCAGAGGCGTTTAGAAGCTTCAAGCCCATTTTGCTTAATGGCTCTGAATCCTCTGGCCTTTTCTAATTCAGTTGGCTTGCTTGTTAAAGAGGATGCTAACACATAACCAGACAAGATTTGCAAAGCTAAATTCACTGAGGTTTGTTTGGGAAGTGTGGGAAGAGATCCTTAAAGATGTTAAATAAGGAAAAAAAATGAAAACATGAGACACTTTGCCCTAGTAACATTCAAAGCAGGAATAAGAGAAAGCATTTAGTGGAGATACAACAAAGAAATCCTTTGCCTACAGAACCAAAGCTTCAGCAAAACAAAAAAAAAAGTACGTGAAGCACCTGGACATCCCTTTGTTCTGAACCTGTAGCACAGGCTGTGGAGGGACATGGCAGTAATTTAAAAGCTTGTTTTCTGCATCCAAACATCATGTAAGGATGAAATGCAATCCATCCCACTATCATTTAATGAGCACCCCGGGACCACTGTACCTTGGAGGCATGATGTCACACGTCAGCAGAGAGATTACTTGTTTTGAAGCTTGTGAACAGCTCTGAGACTTCATTTCGGAGTGCTCCACTCAGAGTCATGACTCAAACCCTTCTGGTCTCACAGAAGGACACAACTGGCTACAGTTTCCCTGTGCTGTCTCTGAGCATCCTGTGAGGGATTAGTAGATAGTTAATTTTATTACCCTTTCTCCTCTTTCATATAGGAAAGGCTTTGTCATTGCTTGAATTCCTTCATGTTCATGACACATTTTCTCAAGTATCGTATCAATGATGTGTCTACTGAGACAAGCAGAGACAGCTACCAAGAAAAGCACTGAAACAAAAACCAAGACATTCATTTAATTTTGGGTGATTTTTAATTTATATAGAGCCATTGGGAAAACTAGTATGAAATCCAGATTCAGACCTGTGACAAGTTGGCTACACGCAATAACTCCTTTGTAAAAGGCAGTTATTACCCAGAATTTTATATCTATCCCTTGAAGGGACCAAGATATTCATCTTGGGCAATTTGCTGAAGTACCAACTTTTTTTTTTTTTTTCTCCAGATCATAACAGCTCCAGAGTCACCTGGAAGCAACTAAATTGATAGCCAGGTTTAGCAGCAGTATTGCCTGAATAAAAACACGTAACATGAAAACCAGCTAACAATTCTGAACGGCTCATTTAATGCTCAATTGCTGAACCTTATTCAGTTTTAAAACAAGCTGTAAGATTAAAGCCCCAGAGGTGAATAAAAGAACTCTCCATTATCATGTCTATATTGGAATTTACTCTTGTATTAGCATTAAACCAAGAATAAAGGAAAAGTGTAGACTCTGTATAAGACTGTCTGAAACTGGGAATAATTTTAAACATACTCTTCCAGTTTATTTCAGTGTTCTCCCTTCCATAGTCAAGGACCATCAATACATCAGTAAACTCATGGTTCCTGTCCCCAGCAGAGCTCCATCCCTGGGTGCCAGACTGAAAAAGCAAAAGGGATGTAATCCACTGAGAGACACTCAGTGGGAAGAGAACTTGGGTGAGGATCAGGCATGCTGGTTCCAGACTTTCTTTAATTATAATCTGTCCCTGGCAACAGGAAAATTTAGATGGGCAACAGAATGAACAGAGCTGCATTCAGTGGCTGCAAATTACTGTTTTACATTTAGTGAATTTATTGTACAGCAATACAGGCATAAATCTAGCTGATACAGAGGGCTGATTAGCACAGCTCTACACTCCAAGTAATGGCATTAAAGACGCAGTGTGAATTTCAGGGAATTAATCATATTGTTCACATCTTTTCAGTGATGATGCAGCAGGCATTTTTATAGCAGATTAACTGCTTTCACCGTTCGTTAATACAACCCAGAACAATAACTACGCTTATGAAGGAAGTTTTTTACCCCCTTCCTGAAGGCATTCTCTGGACTCATATGCTGTTACTTTTCCTCTCATATCCTCTTTGCAGCTCGTTAGTAGAGATATTGAAGGCCTGATGCAGCTTTCCTCTAAAGGAGCCAGAGTAGTTTTTTTTTCCTTGAACTAGGCACAGGAGCCTGCATGCAATGGAAGAGATTAACACCAGGTGGCAAATTACAGCTGATTACAATAGATTCATGTGTATGGAGACACAGTGTAACGCTGCCAGGAAAACAACACATCTGGCAGCTAACTCACCCTCTACTTGCACGTTCCCTTTGAAAAGATAGAGTGGTTTGTTGTTGTTTGTTTGTTTTTAACCTTCAGTAATGATTGTCAAACCCCTGGAAGATCAACGAGGACCCCATACCCTCTATCCAGCTATAATCACTGACATATCGGTATGGTCTGGATGTTCCTAGGCAGGGTCTGAGCCCCACCAGATTTGGCAATATACAAGCACTGATAAAATAAAGGGAATTAGGAAAGGAAATTGCCTGCTGCCCCAACACTTAACCCAGATACCAAGTAGGAAGGGAGAACATACAAACATGGTGAGGGCAGCACTGGCAGAAAGGCACAATGCAAACACAAAGAGCAGTGAGCTACAAATAGTAGCATATCATGAATATCATTAGCTAGGAGATGAAGGAGAAACACAGAAACAGGTAACACCTGGAGCGGTCACCTGTTCCTTTCTTACCTGCTTTAAGGCTCCTGCTGCTGCAGCCCCTGAACTGCTCCATCGTCCACCTCTCCTCAGCTTGTGATTCTTGAGGAATGGTTCAAAACGTCCCTTCTCTAAAATCAGTCAATTGACTCTGAACTGACAATAGTTAACAATTCCTTCAGTGCTTTTGGAGTGGCTTCCTGCCTACTGGAAAGGCTGACAGGATACTCCTTCAGTCCTTCAGTGCAATACAGCATGGCACTGCTTCTAGCTGTGTACAGTGTCTAAGTGCACAGAAGGGTTTGATGGGTTTGCCAAGGGCAGGCCACAAACAGAGGGACTTGCTAGCCATATACCACCTTTCATCACCCTTATTGCCAATCCAACCCCCTCGACTCCTCCCTTCCCCAGACAGCAGTTATTTTAAAAAGGATTTCATGCATCTGTTCATCTGCAAACTACAAAGTACGTATACATTTCAAATGAAATGGCTAGGACTTTGACACTTCTTAAAATATACATTTTATTATTTTCTGGTGTTTGCTATGAAGGTTTCATTCAAATTGTGAAGGTACACAGCCTTTACAAACTTGTTGAGTTAAAGGTTTTTGTTGGAGGTTTTATGTTCTGTTTCTTTCATGGCAGAGGAAAATACATACGCTATAAAATGTTGAAATTCATTAGGTGTTTAGTATTACCTCTTCATATATGCTGTGGAATGCTTTGTAGAAATACTATATAAAATAAGGCAGACTTTGACAGGGAATTCAGTCATAAAATTTCATGGGAGAAAACAAAAAGTTCCAACATATTATTATCTTCTGTAGCCAAGGGAAGATCAGGTGGTCGTCACTGGTTTGTGGGAGAACTACTGCAGTTCTGGTGCTCAGACAGTATACATTTCTTGTTTATTCTACTATTCTCAAGTGAGACCTTTGCAATAAAACTTATTTTAATTAACATAAATCAGACAATATTTAAACATACACATCTATCCTTACAGTGCAATAAAAATGTATCATTGTATAGTATTTTGTATTTGCATTATGAAAATAAAAGGTCTGTACA